GAAAATAATCGACAAAATTTAGAAAAATCTAGGAAGGCAAAGGCAAAATTCGACCCAAAAAAAAAAAAAAAAAAAAAAGTGGGCTTACGCACAGGGAAGGTCGCCCGCCCGTTGGAGCTTAGAGAACAAGACGTGTTTGTCCTGGTCCCGTGCAATCGCAAGCCCACCCTCCCCCAGAATATTAAAGAGTACATTCTCCCTCCCTTCCATCCCCCTCTCTTCTCTTTCTTTTCTATAGGATCATCCGACTCTTGCCATCCCTGTCATTCCTCGTTTGCATCTGCTCATATCGTTGGGTCCCTAGGCTGTGTGAGCCGAGAAGCAACAATGGCGGAGCGGAGAATCTCCTATGCTCCCGACGTGGAGAATGGTGACCATTCTCGCAACAACGAAGGTGGTGAAGGTCTTGAGGAATATGCTGCTTTGAACCGTTACATCTCGACTGCCCAGGGCAAGCGCCGTGGTTCGACTTCCAGCGCTGGTGCTCTCAGCACCGGCAAGAAGGAGAAGAAGAAGGGCTTCTCTCTCTTCAAGAAGAAGACCGATGGTGCTGAGGATGGCTTCGTCTGCCCCGATGAGTGGCTCGAGACCGACATGCGCTCCGGTCTGCGCTCCAGCGACATCGATGCCCGTCGCAAGAGAACTGGTTGGAACGAGTTGACCACTGAGAAGACCAACTTCTTCGTCCAGTTCATTGGTTACTTCCGTGGTCCTATTCTTTACGGTGAGTCGTCCATCGATTCCGTTCGCTGACGTCTCAACGGCCTCAAAACTAATCCGCGTCTGCGTCATAGTTATGGAACTTGCTGTCTTGCTCGCTGCCGGTCTTCGTGACTGGATCGATCTTGGTGTCATTATTGGTATTCTTATGCTCAACGCTGTTGTCGGTTGGTACCAGGAGAAGCAGGCTGCCGATGTCGTCGCTTCGCTCAAGGGTGATATTGCTATGAAGGCTGTTGTTATCCGTGATGGACAGGAGCAGGAAATCCTTGCCCGTGAACTGGTTGCTGGTGATATTGTACGGTCCCCCCTCAGTCTCCAATCATTTTGCGAGCTGCAAACTAATCTGGTTCGAATCTATAGGTCGTCGTTGAGGAGGGTACTATCGTCCCTGCTGATATCCGTCTTATCTGCGACTACTCCAAGCCCGAGAACTTCGAGACCTACAAGGAGTACCTCGCCACCGTTGGCGATGACACTCTCAAGGAGAAGGAGGACGAGGATGACGAGGATGGTGGCATCGAGGCTCGTGCCGGTGTCTCCCTCATCGCCGTTGACCAGTCCGCCATCACTGGTGAGTCTCTGGCCGTCGACAAGTACATGGCCGACACCTGCTACTACACCACTGGTTGCAAGCGTGGAAAGGCCTACGCCATCGTCACCGCTACCGCCAAGCAGTCTTTCGTCGGTAAGACTGCTGCTCTCGTCCAGGGTGCTCAGGACCAGGGTCACTTCAAGGCTGTCATGGACAACATCGGTACCTCCCTCCTGGTTCTCGTCATGTTCTGGATTCTCGCTGCCTGGATCGGTGGTTTCTACCGTCACCTCAAGATCGCTACTCCCGAGAACTCTGACAACAACCTTCTCCACTACACCCTGATTCTCTTGATCATCGGTGTTCCCGTCGGTCTCCCCGTCGTCACTACCACTACCCTCGCTGTCGGTGCTGCCTACCTGGCCGAGCAGAAGGCTATCGTCCAGAAGCTCACTGCCATCGAGTCCCTTGCTGGTGTCGACATCCTTTGCTCTGACAAGACTGGTACCCTTACCGCCAACCAGCTTTCCATCCGCGAGCCCTACGTCAATGAGGGTGTTGATGTTAACTGGATGATGGCTGTCGCTGCTATCGCCTCCAACCACAACATCAAGAACTTGGATCCCATTGACAAGGTCACCATCCTGACCCTCCGCCGTTACCCCAAGGCTCGTGAGATTCTCGCCCGCAACTGGGTTACTGAGAAGTACACTCCCTTCGACCCCGTCTCCAAGCGCATTACCACCATCTGTACCTGCGACGGTGTCCGCTACGTCTGTGCCAAGGGTGCTCCTAAGGCCATTCTTGCCATGTCTCAGTGCTCCGAGGATGAGGCTGATAAGTTCCGTGAGAAGGCTGCTGAGTTCGCTCGCCGTGGTTTCCGTTCCCTTGGTGTTGCCGTCCAGAAGGAGGGTGAGCCCTGGCAATTGCTCGGCATGTACCCCATGTTCGACCCCCCTCGTGAGGATACTGCCCACACCATTGCTGAGGCCCAGCACCTTGGTCTGTCCGTTAAGATGTTGACTGGTGATGCTCTTGCTATCGCCAAGGAAACCTGCAAGATGCTTGCCCTGAGCACCAAGGTCTACGATTCCGAGAAGCTGATCCACGGTGGTCTTGCTGGCTCTGCTCAGCACGACCTGGTCGAGAAGGCTGATGGATTCGCTGAGGTCTTCCCCGAGCACAAGTACCAGGTCGTCGAGATGCTCCAGCAGCGTGGTCACTTGACTGCCATGACTGGTGACGGTGTTAACGATGCTCCTTCCCTCAAGAAGGCTGACTGTGGTATCGCTGTCGAGGGTTCCACCGAAGCTGCCCAGGCTGCTGCCGATATCGTTTTCCTTGCCCCCGGTCTCAGCACCATTGTCGATGCTATCAAGCTTGCCCGTCAGATCTTCCAGCGTATGAAGGCTTACATCCAGTACCGTATCGCTCTCTGTCTCCACCTTGAGATCTACCTCGTTACGTCCATGATCATCATCGAGGAGACCATCCGTGCTGATCTTATCGTCTTCATTGCCCTGTTCGCTGATTTGGCTACCATCGCCGTCGCCTACGACAACGCTCACTTCGAGCAGCGCCCCGTCGAGTGGCAGTTGCCCAAGATCTGGGTTATCTCCGTTGTTCTTGGTATCTTGCTTGCTGCCGCCACCTGGATCATCCGTGCCTCCCTCTTCCTTGACAACGGTGGTATCATCCAGAACTTCGGTTCTCCCCAGGAGATCCTCTTCCTTGAGGTTGCCCTTACCGAGAACTGGCTTATCTTCGTCACTCGTGGTGGTAAGACCTGGCCCTCGTGGCAGCTGGTTGGTGCCATCTTCGTTGTCGATGTGCTCGCCACCCTCTTCTGTGTCTTCGGCTGGCTCTCCGGCGATTTCGAGCAGACCCACCCCCACGACAGCGCCGACTTCTCCGTCAACGGCGACGTCGACATTGTTACCGTCGTTGTCATCTGGGCCTACTCCATTGGTGTTACCGTCATCATTGCCGTCGTCTACTACCTCCTTACCATTGTCCCCTGGTTGGACAACCTTGGCCGCAAGAACCGCTCCCGCGCCGACACCCAGATTGAGAACCTGCTTGGCCACCTGTCCAAGCTCGCCATTGAGCACGAGCAGGACTCGCACGGCAAGTCCCGCTTTGTCCTGGGCGCTCGCGCCGAGGTTGAGGAGGAGGAGTAAACGCTTGATTGCGCTCCATAATACCATCCCCGCTGGCTCACACTTGCTACGCATACATGCATGAGCTGGAACCCTACTCCTCCGGCTTGCTCATTTTACCCCGTATTATAGACTTTTTTTCTTATTACCTGTTGTCTCTTTTACTAGAGCCAATTTCTCTTCTATTTTACATGTATGTATGTCATTAATAGTGGTAAATTTAGTCAATCAAGGGTCACCTATTCATTACTTCGTTTCCTCTTTCTTTGGTCGCGTAGAATTTTGTAAATTCTTCCACAAATTCTTCCACTCTCCCGTCTCTCCGCACAACAACCTTCGAAGAAAAACCTTTTCCGACCGGATTGCCGATCGTCTCAACCGAGCCAAGAGCTCTTTTTTCGTCTGCCCACTTCTACCCGGCCGTTAACTCGGAGCTTGACCGGTTGCGCTTAATTGTTCCAGCCAAGAAGCGTCCTCTCGGCCCGGTGGAGCAATTTCCACCAGGGGCAAATTCCACAGCTATTGTGGTCAAGCTGCTTCAGTACGGGGTCACGGTTACTCGGGTCGAGTCCAAGTTTCAGCCCATTCTGCAAGCCCGTCTCTTCTCTTTCTTTCCTTATACCTGCTGTGTGTGAATGTGTGTGAACTTCCTACATTACAAAACATGCAAACCTTGAGTATTTATCCCATGAAAGGTGGCAGCAAAAGAACGCCCCCGAAACCAAAACACTATGGCTCTGAATGTGGTATGAATGGCTAGATCCAGGCAACGGGTTCTTACTGTACGTAGACTGATCTTTTAATGTTGTGGTAGGAGAGGTATCCTACATTCTGAAGTTGGAAACCCCACCCCCCTAGTTATCCTGATGGGTTTAGTTCTTGGGCTGGATGTGGATTACCTAGTAGCTTTGCAGCTCGCGTGGTCTTCGTGAATGGCCGAAGCCTGTATGAAGCTTCTGTCGAGCAAGGAAGCGTTGAAGGAGGGGGAGGTTTGGGATATGGCTCTACGTATAGTGTAGGGTTCTGCTCTTGACAGATGATCAGATCCCCCGGCCGGTCCAGTGGGAGTGCTGTTTTGAAACAGTGGTTTGCTGCAAGGTAGGTCGTTGGTTGTTGGAGCTCCATGTATGAAGGATATCATGTGATCGATGCCTTTCTCCGCTGTCCATTCGGTCTGTCTGGCTTTGACCAGTCGATCACTCTCCTTCGACTGAGGAGATCTATGCAACGTAACGGTGCAGGGTCCCTCAAGACGGATTCAGGATCGGCGTACAGCCTATGCGAATAACGATTGCTACTGACGAATGACCACAGGTCCTGGTGTTTGCTTGTGTGCAGTGTGTCGATGATATCCGGTATTGGAGTGGGTAAGAGGGACAGGACTTCAAGAGCGGTGCGTGCACCATCATGACTGGGTAGAGGATTTAGGACTACCTAAGTTAGCATCCCTCGCGCTGAAGGATGTGATTCCTCCGCTTGGTGCCCGCAGGAGGCTGGGATAGCTTCGATTGTCTTTCGATTCAGCTAAACTCGCTGGATATGCGGATCGATATGTGCAATCAATTCGGCAAGCTCGAAGCACGTCAGTTGAGGGATAGATACTACAAACTTAACGCAAATCAATTCAAGACTAGAAACACCCCCAATATCTACCTGTCTCCATCCCCATTCACCATCGGAGTGGGATACCGCGGCCCATACGCCGCACTCTCCAACCGCTCCATCTCAATGGTATTCCGTCTCTCCGTCTCACGACTGGGCAAGATCCCCTGCGTGCTCGACCCTGTCCGCACAGACTCCGCCTTTCCATCCGCCATTCTACCCTCGAGACTCTTCTCACGTCCAACTGCGGCGGCGGCAGCAGCAGCAGCAGCAGCAACCCGACACCTCCGATGCGTCGCGACGATGGCCGTCCCCGCCCCGACGACCCACCATGAGAACAAGACGGGCAAGGCGGTGCGCAACTGATTCTCGCACCCGTCGCTCCAGATCTGCACGAGCACCTGGTACAGCTCGTGCGCGGGGAGGGCGTACGCCCACCGGAAGAAGCCCGGCTGCATCTCGAAGGGGCTGACCGTGCTGGCGACGTTGAGGATCGCCCAGGTCAGGATGCAGAAGGGCATGAACTGCATGGGCACGTAGGTGGTCAGCACGTCCACGATCTGGAAGTTGATGTGCATGTACAGCCAGACGGCCATCCAGCAGAGCACGAACTGGCCGGCCGAGACGGCCCACGACTCGCGGAAGGCCCAGATGTAGCCCACCATGCACAGGGCGCCCACGAAGGTGTAGCACCCCGAGATGCACAGCCGCAGCAGGCCGTTGGCGCGCGGCGTCAGCCGCGTGAACAGCTGGAACTGCGCCGACAGCCCGTTCAGCGCCATCATGAAGAAGAACTGCTGGATGATCGGCATGACGATCGAGACGGTGTTGTACAGGACCCGCCCGCCTTGCGCGGTGGCTTTGATGTTGTGTTCCGTCGCGGTGATGGGGTCGAGGAAGGCGGTTAGTGCGGTTGATGTTGATGCTGATGCTGAGGAGGCGAGGAGGGTTTCGAGGACGTTCGACGCGTTGCGCGCGTAGTACGTCGACCGCGTCGCTTCGATCAGCGTGAGGAGGTTGGAGTAGACGGCGCTTTGCGCGAACGCGGGGTACCGTGCTCCGTTCCAGATGTAGGTCAGCGCGGTGGTTGCGTTGGTGTTGCTGCTGCTGCTGCCGCTGTCTGCGTCTCCAGACAGTGATGCTACCAACCGCGCGGTGGCCCCCGCGTTGACGTAGATAGCTCCCCAGTAGTCCCCGTGGCAGACGGCGTTGCGCACATCCTGACTAGATGAAAATTCCTCGGTGGATGCCTGGTGCAAAGTAGGGAAGGTCGCGCCTTGCAAGGCTCCGTATGCGTCGAGGACGGATTGGCCGATGATGTCGCCGTCGAAATCGACGTACAGGAGCTTCAATTGATGGATTCGTTCGCTGTCTCGATACTGCGTCCCGTACAGATAGGACATGTTGCCCAGGAAGAGAAGCTGTAGGAGCAGAAAGCTCATCCCCACTGCTCCAAGGAAGCTCTTCCAGTGCTGTCTCCAGTCATCCTGGTGAGGGGACCGCGCCGGCGGAGTGCTCATGTTCGTATCTGCAGGTTGCAGGCTGTCCAACCCCCAGCACCAAGCTGTTCCTTGCTAGGTTAAAAGCACGGGAGCTCTTCATCCTGAGAGATCATGGGCACTATTTATTCCATTTCAGCCAAGCTCGTTAGGGGGGCGACGTTGATGGCTATAGTTCGGTTCCGGAAGGCGGAGACCAGAGAGCATCCGATGACTAAGCGGAAAGGCCGATGCAGAGACCGAGCAGGCAAACCTGTCAGAGCCTCAACCTTAACCTGTTTATAGATGCAGATCAGCCTGTGATTGGAAGGAAAGTCCCAAGGAGCGGGCAGCCTGTACCCGGGTCTAGTTCAAGTTCTATTTGATGAGCTATACTCCGGAAATAGATCGTGGACCCCTATCTACAGGAGTGTTTTGGCACTGTTCAGTCAATGCGGAGCGGTGGCAGAATAACCCAGCTACCAGGCAGGTCTCACCGCTTTCTGCTTCGAGTGCTTCGGAAGGAGCCTCAAAAGAGACCAAACGGTTACTGATCCTTCTAACACGCAAATCGTAGAACGCTTGGCGGTAGCGGTTTGTTCGCTTTGAGCGGCGAAATACTCGAGCTGAGACCTCGCAACGCCGGTGTCGGATTTCCTGAGGAACAGCGAGGAACAGCCCCAGAGAAGTCAAATGGAGCACTCACAAGTCGGGGCACTAATACGCCGAAATCAGGAGAATAAGGAAACATCCGAACGGGGAACAGGTCCGGATGATGGAAGGTTAAGCAATATCTATACTGGCGTTGTGGAACACATGATCGCATCAGATAATCTTCTTATTCATCAAACTCTTATATACATCATAAGGGCAATAACGCGTGGAATCTTTTAGCTGGTGCTAAAATTCTTGTCTAGGTCTAATGCTCTCCAACGGGTATAAGCTGTGTGATGGCAACATCAAAGCAAGAAAAGGTTGGGGCAATATGCTATCCAAGATGTGCGTCAGGTGATCTGTGGCAGGCCTCACGGTTGAGGATTGCTCGGGCAACCTCCAACAGGCGTGTCGACTAGATGGGTATGTCGAGGATAAGATCCTCCATGCTAAGTTCCTGCTGGATATGACGAGGCGATGCTGATTTGCACCGTGTCATAGTCGGGACGGCCATGCGTCGGGTTCCCGGCACCGGAAAAGTCACTGCCGATTCACTGACTGGTATGGGTTGGATATGCGACAAAAACGGAGGATGTGTGTATAGTGTGTCAGTAGGGGGGGCGAGAAGGGTAGGTGGAAGGCTGAACAACTGTCCGACTTTAAAGACCAGTCTTGCCCAGAAGGCTGGCCAGCTGGTCGACATCCTTGTCTTCCTTTTGGGCGACCTTCTCATTCTCAGCGAGATCGGTGTCCTTGAGAAGCTTCTCGGCCTTCTCCTCTTCTTCTTCCTCCTCCTCCTCTTCTTCCTCCTCGCTCTCCTCCTCCTCAAGCTCGTCCAGCTCGTCAACGCCCCACATCTCCTCAGGGTCCTCATCGGAGCCGTGCTCTTCCTTGCGAGCCTCGAGGATCTCGCGCAGCTCAGTTACGTTGTCATCATCCTCCATGAAGATGTTACCGTTCAGCTCGATACGGCGCAGGGCGGGGAGACCAGACTTGGTCGCGAAGAGAAACTGCTTGACACCCTCGGCCGTGATTTCGTTGTACTGAAGACGCAGCGTCTGCACCTTCTCGTTCTTACCCTCAGCCAGGGCCTGGGCAACCTTGACACCGCCACGGCCCGAGAGCAAGCAGTCGCTGACACCCAGCTCGCGAAGAGAGGCCCAGTTGCCCAGAACACCGGCCAGAGCGGTCGAACCCATAACGGTGAAAGTGTTGTCCTGGAGATCGACGACCTCCAGAGCCTTACAGTGGCTAAGGCCCTCCTTCAGCAGCAAAGAGATACCTTCCTGGCGGATGCCGTTCTGGGTCATCTTCACGGAGCGCATGCCGGCAGCGTGCACCTCGTAGGCACGTGCCCAGGCAGCCATACTGCCGTTCTCCAGGCGGTTCCGACCGCAGACAATGCTCTCCAGGAGAGACACTTCCTTGCCAGCCTTGCGAGCCTCCTCCTTGCGCTCAGCGAGTTCGGTGAGGGCCTTGGCGATGTTGGAGCCGGCCTCGGGGCCCATACCGTTGTTGTTCAGGATCAGGTGGCGGAGGGGCACGTGGCGGGCGAGGAAGTCGACGAGGGGCTTCTGAGTGTTGGCACCGAAGGCATTGTCGGACAGGTTAACGGTGTGGAGAGTGGAGATCTCGAGAAGGGCGTTCAGGAGAAAGGTCAGAGCGTCGGGGATCTCGCTCAGCAGACGCGAGGTGAAGATGTCGGCCAGCTCGGCGACCTCGAGGCTCTTTTGGGTGGACAGCACGGCGGCGAGGCGCTCGCAGGCGGGGACCCCCAGAGTGTTTCCACCAAAGCGAATCTCAGTGTAGTCGGTGCTCTCCAACAAGGGCTTGATATGGGTCTCAATGTCCTCAGCGGTGTCCAGCTTGAGACCTTTGCCCTCAAGCGAAAAGACCTTAGGAGGGGCCATGGCGGGGTAAATTAAATTTCAGGGGAGGGGGAGGGGGTTGAAAAAGGTCAACAGTCAAGAAGTACAGATGGAAAGGATCGTCAGAAAGACAGACGTAAGGAAGCGCAAGATCACTGTCCAAGCCAGTAAGTAAAAAAAGTTTAAAAGAAAAGAAAGGGAGGAATGAATGTGATGGGAGTTGTTGTGGTGTGTGTGTGGTGTGGGAAGATAATGAAATTGAAGGGGAAGAAGGGGAAAGAACAAAAGAATGCAGAATGCAGTGAGTGAGTGCAGTGTGATGATGCGCCCGCCCGCCCGCCGCCGCCTTTTTTCCCCCCTGCTTCCCTGACAACCGGCTAGTTGCCCGCAAATTTTCCCCGATCGCCGCTCCGGCAAGTCCTACCGACCAACAACGCCATTCCGAACCCATCGCATCATCTTCAACTATCACATTAATCAGCAGTTCTCGGTCTGCTTAAGTTAATGAGCTAGTCAACCTCATCGTTGCCAATTGTCCCACTACCCACTCACTCACTCACTCACTCTTTGCTCCGTTGCATTCTTTCACTCCCTCCTCAATCCAGCCGCTCATTCTGCGCCCATATATCCCGAACCTTCATTCTTCAGTATGTCCTGGTTGTTCGGTTCCTCCAAGCGTAAGTCAATTCCCGCGACTATCCGCAGTCCTTCTTCTTCAATCAATCTTCCCTTTCCCACAGCTCCTCACCCCATACCCAACACACAATTGGAACTAACCAATCCCTCCGTTTGCGCAAACACAGCTGAGAGCGCGCCCGCCGCCGCCGCCGCAGCTCCAACCGAATCCGCCCCGGCCGAGAAGCCCAAGGTCAGTCGCACCACCCGTCCGCTCCCTCCCATCGAAAAACCACCGCACCTTTCTCCTCGAAATGCAGACCCAAAGACCGAGAAAGCTAACCCGACCCCCACACAAACAGCCCTGCTGCGTCTGCAAGACCGAAAAGACCGCCCGCGACGACTGCATGCTCTTCTCCAAGACCGACGATCCCACCCAGGAATGCAAGTCGATGATTGATCAGTACAAGGCCTGCATGGCCGGGTATGGGTTCAAGGTCTAGAACCCCGCCGCCGTGGCTGTTGTTCAGGGAGTGGGTTCTGCTGGCATGTTTCTGGGGTGGGGAGAACTTCCTCGACTCTGCGATTATTGTATAACATATGGGTTGTTTTGATTGTTTGTTTTTTGGGGGATACAGTACAGTACAGTACACTACATAGAAGGAGAAAGAGCGCATGCAACATATCCTGGAGTTTGGGTTGTGGGAGGCTTTGTTTTCTCCGAGGGGTTTTTTGATTTGCTGTGGTCTTGTATATTAGATCGATCTTGTTTTCTTTGCTCGAATGTTCTTCCTTGGGCGATTGTTCTATTATCATCTCCCCTTATGCAGTACATGTCTTGTTGTGGTTGTGGAAGTGATTTGTGAAGGTCGTAGTGTCTGCCTTGAAAGAGTAGCAAGTAAAATCAAATCATTGCTCTTTGTTTGGTTTTTATACAACAACTGGTATGGGTGATGTTTAGTCTCACAGAGCCATGCACATGGCAAGCCCACGGAAATGAAATTGGGGTATCACTATAGAATGACAAATGGTATATGGAAGGCACCGCCTCTATGGGTTGACCTTAGATCACTGATTCTTCTTCTGAGTCTCCTCCGCTACCTTCTGGTCAATCTTCCGGCACTGCTGGATCAACTTCCACACACACCATAGATAGGCCAGGCCAAACCCGCCGGCTCCGATGAGCACGTTCAATACCACCCACAGGTCGGGCTTGTCCGAGGGAGGAGGCACGAAAGCCTCCACGACATGCCATGCGATCATGGCAAGGTAGAAGCAGATGTGCACTAGTTTGGTCAGCACATGAGGTTCCGCACTGTCCTCGGACGAATCCCGGCTACGATAGGCCTCGAGCGAGGTTGGCGGCAGACCCATCAGGTAGGCCCAGAGCAGGGTCATGACGAAATACGGCACCCGGAGTTCGTCGCGCTTGAGCAGAGGGTACATGGTCCACGTGCCGAGAATGTTGGCCCATCCAACCCACGCCCGCGTTTCCTTGCTGAGACCCCCGTCTCCAGCCAGGAGCAGTGTCATCGGGAGCAAGGGAAGCAGCACGCTCTTCTCGTGCACCTGGAAGGAGAACAAGAAGAAGCCCCAAGCAACACTTGAGAGTGCGGGGAGGAGAAGTGATGCGCGCGGATGGCGGAAGATAAGGATGCAGGGGATCAAGATCGAACCCAAGGTGGCGCCAAGGGACATGCGCTGAAGAAGACTGGCTTCAAAACGATGAAGCTTGTAGAACGTATGGACAGCGCACCAAGCATTTGCGACCTTGTCCTCGAACAGACCCCGGGCAAACGGGAACACACGATGAATGATCTGCGTCAATTGGAAAGCGACTGCGTAGAGCACGGAATGCTTATCGAGATCGATCGGAAGCTGCTGCAGAAGAGGAGGCTGCGGAGCCGAAGCCAGGATCTCTCGTGCCTTTTCACCGATCGCGCCGATCATCAAGGGGCCGAAGAGAACCGCGAATGCCACGAGTGTCACAAGCGCAATGCAAAGAAGGCGGAGGATTCGGATTTTCGGGAAAATGCACACGCCCAAGAGGAAGGCGAACAAGACGGGGGCATAATACAGGGCCATCTGCTTGAAGCCGAGGGCGCCCACGAAGAAGATGCAAGCCCAGAGCATGCGTCCCGCCAGGATGGCATCCAAGCTCGCAACGACGAGCCCCAGCATCACCGTGTTGTACTGGAAATGACCATGGTCGATGAGAATAGTCGCGGGTTGAAGTAGAATTGCGACAAGCGCAATCGAAGCAGACCAGACAGGCACATTTTGCATCCGAGTGTAGCGGCGCAGGAAGTTGACCACGGCCGGGATGAAGACAAGATACTCGGAAGCCACTACCGTACCGCGCATGAAGACCTTCAACAGAGGATCTTCAAGCCCGCGAGACTTATCAAGAGCGAACCAGGTCGGGTCAATGGCAGTTCCACTATATAAAGTTAGTCACAGAGAAGGTGATTTTGACCCTCCAGCCACTTACATTTTCCCCAGCAGCCAGCTGTGATATGCCGTCAGAGGAGGATAGTCCAGTCCCCAGTATTGTAGATCATACAAGTACCACTTTGCCATGGGCAAATGAGTGGTAATTTCCATCCAGTGTCGCTGCGCCTCGAAGTCACCGTGCATCGGGGGTACCTGGAAGCCTTGTCGCCATTAGTCTTGGGGATTGATGTGTTTGAGACGCTCATGCGACGTACCAGAATACCCCCATAGACTAACTGCCCAACGGAATAGGCCGACAGCCATCAGAACAAGAGGGAGAACAAGCCATTGAGAAACACCTGCCCGAGCGGACCACAGGAATGAAACCAGAGGAAAGGCGGGAGACGACTTGCCGCCTGACTCGGCAATGAGAGAGTTGTTGGAGCCCGTGTATGACGAGGGGAACTTTCTCTTCTTCCGCGGGCGATAAGAGGATGGAGGAGCCATTGCCGCAATCTTAGATGAGAGTGAGTCTAGAAGTAGACCATTGATCCGATGCGATCCGTCTGTGTTGGAGTGCAAGTGCAATAACGGTGCACGCAGAGAGGGAAGAGCAAGGTCAGGAGTAGGTAGAACTGCAGTAGTCGGGATGGTACGTGGTACAGACGGGAGTGGACCAGCTCCGGGGAATGACACTCTGTTGCTTCCATGAGGGCGGTGGGCGGATCTAGGAATTACCTCCGTACTCAGTAGGTACTGTAGCTCGCTACCTTGGCAATTTTACAGAGACAGTAGGAAAGTGGCATTTTCTTAATTCAAACTACCAGAGGCTGTCAAGTTCCATGAAGCTGAGCAGACTAATTGAGCTCTTTTCGTACTATTGCAAGGGATCCCCAAATCACCAATTATCTTGTATCCCTTTGTTGTCTGTGTCTGTCGAGGGCCGAGGCCAACAGGCACCGGAGCAAGGCGCGCTTAGTCAGCGATGCATGCGGTGTGGCTGGTGGGGCCGAGTACCTCGACTAAGACCAGGAGCGCAGGCGGTAGCCCCTGTTGATTTTTTCTGCCTGTCTCCAGTTTTGCGACTAGTCGAATTTTTTTTTATCCCCCCGGCCGCCTTATCGGAGCTCCCAGCAGTAGAAATTTTCTTCTTTTTCTTCTCCTCCCCCCTTCACTCTTCATCCTCTCACTTCTCTTCATCCCTTTTATCATCTTCTTCATTCCTCTTTTGAGACTCAAACAACCGTTTGACTCTCCTCCATCTACTTCTTGACTGACTCAGCTGTATCTTACTAGGTACACCGTAACAGACATCCTGTGGGCTTTTTACCTTGAGGGCTGTGGGTTGTAACATACTACGTTCTATTCTGTGGGATCTGTTGGATACTTCCGTGGGTTTCATATCATAGACAGTAGCGTTTCTCCTGTCTTACTCGTGTGGGCTTGAACACTGTCAGTTGTGGGTTACCTGTGGGTATTTGCGAAAGCAATCAGTGGGCTGTTCTTATATCAAATCGGGTGATTTGTGGGACTCAAGAAAATTTTTGCCGCACAAGAAGTTTCTTTGTGATCAATTTTATCTGGTATGTCTCCACCTGGGTTCTCATATATCGACCCATCCGCCTTCCTCACCTCTTCTCACTAACCAACCATTCTTTCTATCCCCAGATTCAAAATGTCTAAGACCAAGTCCGTTTCCAAGAAGGGTGAGAAGCCCGTTGACAAGGCCTTGAGCAAGGTCAAGGATGCCGGTGTGAGCAAGGCTGCTCAGTCCCCCAAGTCCAAGAGCAAGCAGATTGCCAAGGCTGTTGTGACCAAGGAGAAGAAGTCTTCCAAGAAGAAGAAGGAGCCTACTCCCTCTGAGTCCTCCGACTCCGAGTCCGACAGCGATGAGGAGATGGACTCCGACTCTAGCTCTAGCAGCGAGAGTGAGGATGAGAAGCCCGCTAAGAAGGAGACCAAGAAGGTTGCTAAGAAGGTCGAGTCCGAGTCCGACTCTGACTCTGACAGCGATGAGGACATGAAGGATGCCTCCAGCAGCGAGAGTGAGAGCGAGAGCGAGGATGAGAAGCCTGCCAAGAAGGAGACCAAGAAGGTTGCCCAGAAGGAGGAGTCCAGCGACTCTGAGTCTTCCGAGTCTGAGGATTCTGACTCTGAGTCCGAGTCCGAGAAGGAGGCCCCTAAGAAGGCTGAGAAGAAGGTTGAGTCCGAGTCCGAGTCCGACTCTGACTCTTCCTCCTCTGAGGACGAGGCCCCCAAGAAGGCCACCAAGGAGTCCAGCGACAGCGACAGCGACTCTGACTCCGAGTCTGAGGACGAGAAGAAGGCTGAGAAGGTTCGCATCACCCACCAATCGATCTTGACAATCATCTCATGCTAATATTACGTAGGAATCTTCCGACTCTGACTCTTCCGACTCCGACTCCTCCGACTCTGAGTCTGAGGAGAGCGACGAGTCTCCCAAGGAGTCCAAGAAGCGCAAGGCCGAGGACGAGAGCGCCGCTACCCCCAAGAAGACCAAGGTCGAGGAGCCCGCTGAGGGTGCCTCTGCCAACCTCTTCGTCGGCAACCTGTCCTGGAACGTCGATGAGGAGTGGCTCCAGCGCGAGTTCGAGGGCTTCGGTGAGCTCTCTGGCTGCCGCATCATGACTGAGCGTGAGACTGGCCGCTCTCGCGGGTAAGCATTCCATTCCACCTCTGGTATTTGGGTCGTCGCTAACCATGTATCCTAGTTTCGGTTACGTTGAGTTCACCAACGCTGCTGATGCTGCTAAGGCCTACGAGGCCAAGAAGGGCGCTGAGATCGATGGCCGTACCATCAACCTCGACTATGCCACCGGCCGTCCCGCCAACAACCAGGGTGCTCCCCGCGACCGTGCCGAGAACCGTGCCCGCAACTTCGGCGACCAGGCCAGCCCCGAGAGCGACACCCTGTTCATCGGTAACCTTCCCTTCAGTGCCAGCGAGGACTCCGTTGGTGAGCTCTTCGGCGCTTCGGGTACCATTGTCGGCATCCGTCTGCCCACCGACGCCGAGTCTGGCCGGCCCAAGGGCTTCGGTTACGTTCAGTTCTCTTCCGTTGACGAGGCTCGCGCGGCCTACAACGAGCTCAACGGAGCCGAGCTTGAGGGTCGTCCCGTCCGTCTGGACTTCAGCACTCCCCGTCAGAACAACAACGGCGGTGGCCGTGGTGGTGGTCGTGGCGGTTTCGGTGGCCGCGGCGGCGGTGGTGGCTTCGGTGGCCGTGGCGGCGGTGGCCGTGGTGGTGGTCGCGGTGGCCGTGGCGGCTTCGGCGGTCGCGGCGGTGGTGCCGGTGGCTTCAACAAGGGCAAGGGCTCTATCCCCGAGTACAAGGGAACTAAGGTTACCTTCTAAGTGCTTGCGTAGGTGTATCTTTGTCAAGCCTTGACCGGGTATTGTCTGGGCTCTTTTTTTTTTTTTTTCCCTTTTGCTTTTCACGGAGGATGTTTTAAAAGTTCTTGCTGCATTTCCTTAGTTTTTCAGGATAACCCCCTCGGTAACATAGTTTGTGTGATATCTAGGATAGAACAATTTAATGAATGGCCATGACCAAAATGAATCCTTGTTGCTCCATTGCTCAAATCTTCCAGCTGTTGTTTGTTTGCTACGAAGTCCACTTTGCCGGGTTGTACCGTGGTTGCGCATGAAGGAGGTCTTTGTCTGATAGAGAGCTGGTAGGCGGCAGGGAGGGAACCCCTCCGAGGTCGGCTTTGTCTCCGTCGCGCGACCTTGAACTGTCCACTGCAAACTGGTTGCTGCCAACTCTTCTGGCTGGCTGGGCTGCATCGTGGATCAGGCAGATCTGCTGCAATGATGGGCCTATCAAAGTGGGCCAGTCACGGTGCGCGGTCGGATGATCAATCACAGTCTGCGGCCTGCCTCGTGTTCCCCTCCCCTCCCCTCCAGGCTCCATTCTACATTCTCCATATTCCAGTACTTCCAGTTGTAGTGCTGATGCTGACTGACTGTTTGCGACGTTGATTGAATGGGTTGACTTGACTGTTTGGCTGTTTTCCTCCTCCTCCTCCTCCTCCTCCTCCTCCCTCCCTCCTTCTCTTTACTCACTCTCCTTCCCTTCCTTTCCCTTCCCATTCTTGTTTGCAATACCTCTCCTCGTTCCTCTTCCTTCACAGACTTGTGCAAGTCGTGTGTTTCTTCCCGTCATTCTTATTTCTTGTCTTTTTGATTCCTTGCAACCTATGTCACGGGTGATCGTTGGAGTGTCTAGTCCCACATTTGATAAGATCAACTCTATATCGACCACTCCACCCGCTCCATCACTCCCTCCCTCCCTCCCTCCATCCATCCATTCCATCCATCCACTACTTACTCATACGGTACTGCATTAACCCCGCGCTTTGGGACTGACCGCTCCCTCTCATCGCTGTCCATCACTGGTCGGTCCGCCTGCCGTCCCTGTGGCCTGAGGATCACCCGTGGATCTCGCTTCCAGTCAATAATCCATCCCTCCATCCCATCCCATCATCCCTCTCCTCTTTCTCCTCTTCTCTCCTGTTAAATCATCATCTCCTTATTTCTTCTTCTCAACCTCTCACTCTTTCTCTCTCTTCCTTTTCCCTTTCCTTATTTCTCACATCTACCCTCCTTCCTCCTTTTCTTTTTTCTTCCTCCATATATCCTCATTCAACTTGCCTCTGGCAGCCGGTCTGGACCTTGTCTGGTTCCTCGCTACTGCCCCTCCTTTTCTCCCTATTACATCTTCCATCATGCAACCAAATCACTATGACTTGCTGGGTCAGGTGCAACATGAAGACCCTCGATTAACCGGTCGACTGACGCGAGACCTTCATCAGTCGGCGCGCGATCATCTACTTCCTCATCAGTCACGTTCTCCCGCTGCCCGCGACCCCACGAGATCAGAAGGTACGTCATCGCCTCACGGCCTCCCCAGATATCTACTCTGCCCCTGCATGCTCGGCAAAGACCTTGATATCCCTATGTTCAACTTCAGTTTGCGCCACTTAGATGTATATTCAGTATTATCATTATCATGTACTCACTTCGTTACTATATAGATTCCTGGATCGAGGTCTCGTCTCAGCCGTCATCCTCATCCCTCTCCTCCGCAGGCACCAACGACGATATCATCACAACCGGTCTCCGTGTCCAGCAGCAAGATCCCGGTCGGTATCATCGAAGTCGACGACGACGGCTACAACAACTTGCAGCCATCACCACAGCTCAAGTAGACTACTCATCCCGCGAACACAGTAGCAGTCAAGATGAATATGAGGAAAGCGAGAGTGAATCCGATCAAGTGCTCAGCAGCTCTGAAGATATGACTCGTCCACCCGAGAGACCGCACCCATTTCTGGTATCCACAGGCCCATCCCCGCTGCCGTCCGATGTCCCTACAGACGAAGATGACGACGATAACTCCACCGCGCTAGGCATGCGCATCAGCTCATCTCCATTTGTTCCTCAACCAAATGTCTTTTCTCATCCGCCGGCATCCCAGGACCCGTCATGGACCAGGCCTATGGAAAGGCGGCACCAGGCGGAACCCAGTGAGGTGTCGAATTCCAGTCGACGGACGGCCATCAGGGCCCGGCGGAACTCACAAGCCAGCATCCGCTCTGTGCGCAGGTCATCCTACCAGCACAGTCCATACAACATGATCTCTCCATCCCACCACGCCGATCACGATGCTGCGCTCCGGGCCAGTCTTTCCACATTACTTTCCTGCGCTGCGGCAGCTCGAGGCCTCCCCAAGTCAGATGCGCAGCCAGTCCAGCCAGGTCCCTCGCGAGCGCCGGCGCCGTCATCTTTCCGCCTGGTATCGGAATCGGTTGCGATGGGGGATATTTGCGAGGAAGAAATGGCAGGGGCGAATCCCACCGCAGCAGCAGCAGCCCGGTCCCCTCGCTCAGGACTATCCCCTCCGCCATACTCTCCGCGGAGCGTTCCGCAAGCACCCCCACGAGCCAAAAGACGGTCAAGTCCATCCAAGGAGCGAAGTCATTCAGCCAAGAAGACTCGGCGAGGTAGCACCGTGGAAACCGTTCCCACAGCTAGCCCGACGGTCATGACGTGGGTGATCAGCGCGGGAGTTGTCGTGCTGTTCTCCGCCATCAGCTTCTCAGCGGGTTACGTACTGGGCCGCGAAGTTGGCCGACTGGAAGCTACCACTGGAATTGGAGCAATGGGCGACGGATCAGGAGGTAGAGTAGCCACCGGCTGCGGTCAAGAAGCAGTGCGGGGCAGTCTGAAACGACTCCGCTGGGGAACAGGAACCTCCGCCTCAGGCATCATTGCATAATCTCCACGTGCATATTGGCAAATCTGAATATATGCTTCACGACGACGGGCTGTGGTAATATTTGGTTAATACACGGCGGAATGCACACTTTTCTTTTTCTGTCTCCCTTGGGTTTGGTTCTCATCTCATCACGGTCTATATGTCGGAATGTACGGGTACGAGAGAAAAAGTTGCCCCAAGTTGATATTCAGGTGTGGATGTTGTGATGACTTGAGGAGTTTGGGTGTTATCGGATATCTTTCTACTGTTTATACCCCCCGCAAATTCCCTCTCTTGGATAATAACATGACTTATCATATGAATGAACTATTAAACAAAGATAAAAGAGGAAGGACGAAAAGATGCTGGATGGAAGAAGATAACCCAGCCATCCGGCCATCGATAAGAGTAAGAAAGACTAATTCCATATCCAGCCACGCTAAAGCTTCACCGTTCTTGACAACTATACAGCCAGAAAGACGATTGAAAATATATAAGAACACGGACACAGAACTCCAAATCGACCCTCCGAACACCCAAGCTGGTTGAAAAACCGATAAAAACCATGATATACACTCTAGTCTATGTATCGACTCCGGTCAAAAGAGATCCTCCCGCCTCCGAAACTGCGCCACCGGCCCTTCCACGGCCGCCACCACCCACCCCATCATCTCATACTCGGAATCCGTCTTACCGTGAATCGGCGAGGAAGTCGAAGCCGGCGCAGCAGCCGCCGCTAACCGAACATCATACCGCCAGAGCAACCGCGCCACGGCGAGATGGAGTTCCGTGTAGGCCAGACGCCAGCCGACGCAGGAGCGGGCCCCGTAGCTGAAGGGGCAGAAGGCCTGATAAGCCTGGGCTTGTTTGGTGGTCGTCGCGGCGGATGTTCCCTGCTGCTGGTGTTGCTCCGCGGTTGAAGGACCAGAAACCCCCGGGGACTTGTTGTTGTTGTTGTTGCTGCTGCTGTAGGAGGGATCCAACCACCGCTCCGGCCGGAAATCATCCGGACGGTCGAAGTAGGCCTCGTTGCGGTGGAGGGTGTAGATCGGGGCGCCGACGACGGTGCCGGCGGGGATGAAGTCGCCGTCGATGTAGATGCCGCCGGGGCAGACGGCGCGCGGGGGCGCGTTGGGCACGGACGGGGCGAGGCGCATGGCCTCGTTGACGCAGGCGTGCAGGTACGGGCTGGTGGTCGGGGAGGCGGAGTCGAAGCGGATGCTGGTCTCGGTGGGGAAGGTCGAGCGGAGTTCCGTGGTCAGATGTTTTAGACTGGTGGGGTGGTGGAGGAGGTAGTGGATTGTTGCGCTGAGGGCGTTGGCGGTCGTGTCGGAGCCTTTGGGTTCGGGTCAGATTGGGTTGGTTTCTGGGGTTATGGGGGGTTTCGGGGGGGGGGGGATGATGAGGATTTAGGGCTTTGGGAGGAGGGTGTTGCTGTACCTGCTACCAGTAACAGCATGGATTCAACCCAGAGGTCTTTCTGAGTGAAGTTCCGGCCGGTCTTCGGGTCCGTGGCGTTCATCATCGTGCTGAAGATGTCCTTCTCGATGTTCTTGTTGCCCAGTTTGGCGCGGGCTTCGCCGCGTTCGCGGATCCAGCTGCCCGCACGGAGGATGGCTTTGTACTGAGAGGCGAGGAGGAAGTGGTCGAGCTTTAGTTGGATGAATCTGGGCTGGATGAGGCTCTTTTTTTTTGCGAAGGGCGATTAGTATTGCTTCTTCGTTGCTTGTTTGTCGTTGCTGCTACTCACCATCATGCCTCGTTGGCTGATCTTGCGGAATACAGAGGGAAACCATCGCATGTCTTCCACCTGCAGCAGGTTGAGATCCTCCCCGTAGCAGAGGTCAGCAATGATGTCGAAGGTCATCCAGGTGCACGCCTGCGCGACATCCTTGGGCGGACCCCATCCCCGCGAGGCCTCGGAATCCGAACCCAGCAGCGAAACAAAGTCCGTGACGTTGTCCAGGATGCGCTCCTCCATCTGCTTCAGGTTCTGCTCGGAAAATACCTGGGCCATGATCCGTCGCTTGAAGCCGTGCAACCCCTTGTCTAGGGCAACTAAGCTATTCGGACAGCGACGACTGAGGCCCAGCGCAGCATATCCGTCTGTCTTGCGAACGTTGGCCCGGACGCCATAGATCTCAGTCATAGCCGTGGCCGAGTTGAAGCTGAGGGTTGACGGTCCATAGCGGACGACCTTCCCTGTGAAAAAGTCAGCTTTTGGCCAGACACGTCAGGCAAACAGGCTCACCATATCTTGCATGCCATTGTTGTACTTGTTTGTGTAGGTCGCCTCGCCAGGCATAATAAATCACATACCAGTCGGTCAAGATAGCTAGTCGGGGACCGGGGTATCTGGATAGAGGATGGAGGAAGAGCCGATATAATGCCAAAGCACAACCCTGAGCTGGTTAGCTTGTGTTTGTTGAGCTGCGGCGGGCTTGAAAGTGACGCACGTAGACAAGACATGTCACAGTCGCAGCTGCAAATAGAGGTAAGCCCATCCTGAATCTGTCTCTCTTGTTCTCTTGGCTGATGGATGTCCTGGTTTGTTCAATCCTGGGGTCGATGGCGGTGCGGACAAACTATTATTCTACAACAGCGGCACTCCACGAGAAGAGAACTGATTTATCCCCTCGCACTGACCCAATGACGGTGCAGGACATGATGCAGTTGTCATGGCGTTTGGTGACCCGTGTATGTGGGTTCGGCCAGATTTATCGAGTCAATGTGGAAGTCCCTTGTCTTCCATCGCTGCAATGATCTGCGTGGAAGGGAGGTTCGAGATCCGCCGAAGAGCCCCACGCACAAGATCCGGTTCTTTCTCTATTTGATGATAAGGTATATACACCCCTCATTTGTTCAAAGTCGGATCGAAAAGACCCTTCGTCATGCGCTGTAGAGTCGATGGATCACCAGCGGCCATTGTCCGTGACGGGGTAGCAAGTGTTTCCTTTGCGTCACATCTCTCGATGGCAGCCAAAAAAGCTATTGTGAATGAGTAATAGTCACTGCTTATATGCAATTATCCTGCACTTACCACCTCTTTCTCGGAAGAGAATTCCCTCTCATCGAATTGTTGCCAGCTTGTCAGTGCTGCAAGATGGGTGTAGTGTATCAAATCAAGTGCGGTGGAAACTGACTCGATCGCCAAGATGATCGGCGGGGACAGATCTCTGGCAATGAGATCAATTGGATCCACGAGATGATCGGCGCGACGCAATTACTGCTTTAAGCAATTGTTTGCTCCTGATGTGTGTCTTTTTGTGAGATCATTTCTTCCACTCTCGATGCTGATAATCGCCACGGTGGACCGGTCATGAGCCGTGTTGTAGGCTATGCCACGCAATGCGCCTGCACTTTCCACAACAAAAGTCTGTAGGAAGCAAGATTCCCAGGTGATAGAGTCTCGCTATAAACGCACGATATTGGAGTTCTCCCTGTGACTTAGTAGTCCAGCATCTCAAGATGGCGTTCCCCTATGCCGTGACGGAACATGTTATCGATAGTCAATACATCCGAGGGTATCCCAGGGCCACGACCACGCAGGATGCCCCTCTGAAGCTTTGCGTGAAGAAGTATACGCCCATCGATAACCCCCATCCCGAGCCGGGCGATGTCACCATCGTTGCTGCACATGGCACGGCGTTCGCAAAGGTAGGTGGAAAGAGCCATAGCCAGCCAGCCTCAAGCCTCGCACTCATCATCGCCCAGGAACTATACGAGCCGCTCTGGGAAGATCTCCACGCCAGAAGCAAGAAAGAGGGATTCCGAATTCGCGCGATCTGGATCGCTGATAGCGCCAACCAGGGTGCCAGCGGTATCCTCAATGAGAATCACTTGGGCAATGACCGTAAGCCCCAGCTCACGACGCCCCCCTTCTGGAAGATTCAAAGCTAACAGCAACAGCATCATGGCTTGATCACAGCCGCGATCTTCTCTTGATGATCAACCAGTTTCGCGACCAGATGCCCCGACCCATCATGGGTCTCGGGCACAGTGTGGGTGCAGCTCAAATGTCGGTTACCCTCACTCCCTCGTCGATGAGCGCGAGCCAGTGAGCGAGTGAAGTCACTGACTGTCTTCAGGATATTTCTATCACTGATCCATCCCCGACTGTTCTCATCCCTCATGCTCGTCGAGCCATATTTCGTCGAGCGCACGCTTCAAGGGAGCGGCCCTCTTCTCCTCCGTCTGACCATCAACAAGCGAGATGTCTGGCCTTCCCGTGCCGTCGCCGTAGACAAGTCACGCAAGGCCCTTCGATCCTGGGACCCGCGGGTGCTGGATCGCTGGGCTCGGTTCGCATACCGCGAACTTCCGTCAGCTGTATACCCACAGGAAGATGCAGCACAATCATCATCGTCGTCGTCAGATGCAGGGCCGGCCGTGACCTTGGCAACGACCAAGTACCAAGAGGCGCTGATGTACACGCGGGCCAACCCTCGTCGGTACAGAGAGCTGGGCTTGCCCGATGAATTGAATCAGAAACATGAGCACGAAGAGCCTAGTCCGCCGCACGACCCGCTACTCTTCCCCGACGTGCTGGGGGCGCTGGTGCCGGAGCAGAACTCCTACCGGCCGGAGCCGGTACTGGCGGGGAGGTTGGTACCGCACCTACGACCATCGGTCCTTTTCTTGAGTGGAGCTGAGAGTCCACTGTGCAAGCTGGGGATTCATGAGCGGATTGCCAAGAAGGTGGGGACTGGGTTCGGAGGGAGTGGTGGCATGGAGTATGGTCGAGTGAGGCATCACTTAGTTCCGAAGGCGGCACATACTCTGCCTTTGGAGAAAGTGACGGCTACGGCAGATGCTCTTGGGCCGTGGATTCAGCAGGAGATACGGCGGTGGAAGGAGGATGAGCAGCGCATCGCACAGGGGTGGGACGAATTGCCTGCAAGAGAGAAGTCAATGTATTCCAACGAGTGGAAGGAGATGATCGGTTCGGCGGCCAACCGAATCATCGAGACACGGTCCAAGTTGTGATTACTACCTGGCCGGGTCACATGGCAGCACCTCCACGTATATTGTAGCGATTTGATGAAGCTTAAGATGGGCAAGATGGGCAATATGGGCAATATGGGCAATATGGAGCGATTCCTTAGATTTCTGGTGGTTGTTGTTTGTCGATAGCTAGTTATCTACATGTGACTGGCTTGAGTGGCCGCATTACCGGCTACGCCGACATACATAACATGGCATCGTCAGTTTCGAAGCATGCAAATTTGAAAATATGAACATCGTAGATTTTTGTTGGATTACTCGTCATAATACACCACTTTGGACCTATATTATTTCCATTTCTACTACTGCCTGTCCTCGTTTACCGCGACAAGGCAATGTCATCAATACGCATGATCATCTTCACCGTCTCGGCAGCCAGCTCAATTGCGCTGGTGCTTACCAAGAGGGGCTGAAGAATGTTCTCCTCGGTGATATCGTCCTTGACACCACCGCTGCGAATGCTGACTCCGGCATTGTGCTGGCCTTGAGCGTGGCGATGACGCAGGTCGGTGACCACCTTGATCGAGTTCAGACCGGCATTCTCGGCCAGGGTGGTGGGGATAACCTCCATGGCTTCGGCGAAAGCCTTCCAGCAGATAGCCTCGGTGCCAGTGAGCTCACGGGCACGCATGGCCAGAGAGTGGGCCACTTCGATCTCAGGGGCACCACCACCGGCAATGAGAGCACGCTTCTTCACCAGACAGCGGATGACACAGAGGGCATCGTGCAGAGAGCGCTCCGCCTCATCCAGGATGAGGTTGTTGGCGCCACGAGCCACGATGGAGACGGTCTGGTTGGCGGCGGTAGCAGGGGCCTTGATGCCAGTAATCTTCACGTACCGAGCACCAGACTGCTGAACCTCCTCGACAAGATCAGCAGTACCGAGCTTGTCCTCAGTGAAAGAGTCAACGTTGGCGACGGGCTTGCAACCCAAAGTCTTGCACAAGAACTCAACCTCATCACGCTCGATATCCTTGATGGCCAAAATTTTGAGGCGGGAAAGGAAGTGAAGGGAGAGGTCGTTGACGGCGTCACGGAGGATTGACTTCTGGATCAAAAGAACATTGCACTTCGTCTTCTGGATCTTCTTAACCATGTTGAGAAGGTATTGGCGCTCTTCCTTGAGGATCTTGTCCATCTGGCGGTAGTCGTTCACGACAATCTGGTTCTCCATCTGCGAGATAGCTGTCAGCACTCCCCATTAGGGCAGGTGTAAGGGGTCACGTACGTCAGGCTTGGGGGGGCTGAGCTGGAACTGAATAAGACCTATCCGGGCCTTCTCAATTCTGGTGGGACCACCGCTGCTCTTGATGACTTGCTGGTTCAGGACCAGACCGTCAACCATCTCACTGTCCTCAATTGTTCCGCCAACCTTTTTCACTATGCGAATGTTCCGGAGATCGACGTTCTCTGCCGTCTTGGGGTCGACGACCTTCAGAACGGAATCGACGGCCATGGGGCCGAGGAGGCCGGAGTGCTGAGACACAATCTTGGAGGAGAGAGAGGTGGAAGCCGCCTGGAGGAGAGTTGAGCGGTCTGTGAGGTTGATGGGCCGGGACATGTTGTGGAGGATCTCGACGGCGGCGGCGGCGGCTCTTTGGAAGGACTCCGAGATGACGGTGGGATGGATACCCTTAGCCAGCAGGCGCTCCGCAGCACCGAGCAAGCTTCCTGCAATGACAACAACCGATGTAGTTCCATCACCGGCTTCGACATCCTGAGCGGCACTGAGGTCGACCAGCATTCTGGCGGCGGGGTGCATGACGCTCATGTCCCTCAGCATTGTGTTTCCGTCGTTGGTCTAAGGAGGGGTTAGTGGGGGTGATCTGGGAGTATTCGAGGTAGTCTTCGTACGATAATGGTGTTTCCTTTGGGCGTTTGGATCTGAAGCTACATTAGCTTTTGGTCGTTGTGAATTAATTCCATCCTTCTTACCATCTTATCCATACCCCTGGGACCCAGAGACTGCATATCGTGTTAGCCCCTCATCTGTTAAATTCCGGTCAAGACAAAGCGTACAGTTCTGATGGCATCGGAGACAGCTATTCTTCCGTCAGCAATTGCGTTCAGGTGGTACCGACCAGAGATGCATACCTCTAGCAGCCAAAATGTTGGCTGTGCGAACGGCCATAGGCTTCTCCTTGTCCTGTTCGGCGATTAGAGAACGGTCCACAGGTATTTCTCTCCGCAAGAAGACGCACCTTGAAAGTCGTGTTGCCAGGGGCACCCTGGGAGGCTGTCGTCGCCATGATGAAGATAACTACGATATAAGCACCGTAGAGAAAAGAGATAGAGTCAAGTAAGAGGAGGGTGGAGCGAGGCGAGGGAGTTCCAGAACCTGGAGGCGGCACTGGGAAATTCTGCGGTGTTGCGGTTTTGGGCGGTGTTGCTGCTGGGCTTGGCGGGCCACTAGCGTCAACAGCTCGAACCGCATTCAAGCTGAGCTCGACCACCACATCACTCTTACCATCCCCCGTTCAAGCTCCATCCTCCTCATTACATCCCTTTTTTCAACTCCGTCAACATCCGCTACTATCCTGTGCTCCTGTACGCAAAATTAGACCTCCGATTTAACCGCTCACACCCCTCCACGCTGTCCTGTCGCCTCGCCACCGGCTCACATCATCAGCATGCCTAGCGCTACGGGCCAGAACTGGGAGAAGTACCAGAAGAACTTCGCCGATGACGAAGAGCCGGAGAAGAAGATCACTCCTCTCACAGATGAGTAGGTGGACCGGATGCTACAACTTTGCCGACTTTCCCGTCTCGATGGCTAACTGGAACTAGGGATATCCAAGTACTAAAGACCTACGGCGCTGCTCCCTACGCCAACGCATTGAAGAAGCTCGAGAAACAGATCAAGGAGAGACAAGCAAGTGTGAACGAGAAGATTGGTGTTAAGGTATAATTTGGTTCGGCCTTTCACTGGAGTTGTCCTTGCTGACCTGCATAGGAATCCGATACCGGCCTTGCGCCTCCACATCTCTGGGATGTTGCTGCAGACCGACAACGTATGGCGGAGGAGCAGCCATTGCAGGTAGCTCGGTGCACGAAGATCATTCAGGATGAGAAGGATTCAGACAAGAGTAAATACGTCATCAACGTTAAACAGATCGCTAAATTCGTCGTCAACTTGGGAGAGCGCGTGAGTCCGACAGATATTGAGGAGGGCATGAGAGTTGGGTATGTTGCCGTGGTCTTTTTGCCGCCCCGTTCAGATCTAACCGTGATACAGTGTCGACCGCAACAAGTACCAGATTATGCTGCCTCTTCCCCCTAAGATCGACCCGAGTGTGACGATGATGACAGTCGAAGACAAGCCCGATGTGACGTACGGTGATGTTGGTGGATGCAAAGAACAGATTGAGAAGCTGCGGGAAGTCGTCGAAATGCCCCTACTTTCGCCGGAGCGCTTTGTCAACCTCGGTATCGACCCTCCTAAGGGTGCTCTGCTCTACGGACCTCCCGGTACGGGTAAGACGCTTTGCGCTCGAGCCGTGGCCAACCGGACGGACGCGACATTCATCCGTGTCATCGGTAGTGAGTTGGTACAGAAGTACGTTGGTGAGGGTGCACGGATGGTTCGAGAGCTGTTTGAGATGGCGCGGACTAAGAAAGCATGCATTATCTTCTTCGATGAAATCGACGCGGTCGGTGGTGCTCGTTTCGACGACGGAGCTGGTGGTGATAACGAGGTTCAGCGTACTATGCTGGAACTGATTACACAACTGGACGGATTCGATGCCCGTGGTAACATCAAGGTCATGTTCGCGACCAACCGGCCGTCAACTCTGGATCCTGCTCTGATGCGTCCGGGACGTATCGATCGTAAGATCGAGTTCTCCCTTCCGGATGTTGAGGGCCGCGCCAACATTCTGCGCATTCACGCCAAGAGCATGTCGGTCGAGCGTGACATCCGGTGGGAGTTGATCTCTCGTCTATGCCCGAACGCCACGGGTGCTGAGCTTCGGAGTGTCGCAACAGAGGCGGGCATGTTCGCCATTCGGGCGCGTCGGAAGGTGGCAACTGAGAAGGACTTCTTGGCTGCGGTGGACAAGGTGATCAAGGGCAACCTGAAGTTCAACTCGACGGCGACGTACATGCAGTATAATTAGACGACTCTTAGGTATTTGGATTACATTACAAACGCAATGGATGTGTATGATCATTTACTCGGTAGTCTGTTGTATGATGTCAATGTCAAGTTCTGGGTGATCCTGCCGGAGCGGCGGCAATCAGCAAGGGTTACAAGCTAGGTAAATTGCTAGGCTTGATTAGTTTCCGGTCTCATTGCAGTGAGGAGAAACTCAAGCCTGGAGCCAGGCTCGGCTCATGCTCCAGCTCACTGCCTCAGGCTCATGCCGAAAGTACAGTAGGGAATCAGGCTGTCAACTGGCAGGAATCGGCCGTCTTGCTCCGGAAAGTCTCGCGCTTTGCCGGGTGAGAAGAGGGCCGGACCACGTGCCCAGCAGATTTCGGCCAATGAACGCAGACTGACTGCCCGAGGTGATTACCACTCCACAGATGTTGATTGGCTTGTTCGGCCCCGGTCCTCCCCGTCGGCAAGTGCAAAATGCTTATGTCAGCCGGGCCTTCCTCGCTCTTCCAGCAGAACCGACGATCCAAAAGTGCAGCTCGCATGCAAACCACCAGCCTTGAACCCCGACTTTCTCTCCCCCAGTACTTGTGCTGTTGGATCCCTTCCCCATCTCCCCTCCTTTCCCGGATTTGCCAGAGAAGTGTCTCTTTTCTTCTAATCCGTCATCATGAGCTCCTTGAGCTGGCGGAGCCTGGCTCCCGCATCTAAGGTCTGTTCCCTATCCCGATGTCTGTCCGACTCGACTCCAGATTTGGAGCGCGCGTTAGGACGCCACCCTCTCTCCAGGATTTTACTGACACATATCTTTGCGCAGATTTCCCGCGCCTTGAGGGATCAGAGACGTCTCTTCTCCTCCTCCCGCCCTGCTGGTACGCATTGGAGTCGCATCGCCATCCCTTTCCGCCTCTCGCTAACTTCTCATCTCCGCTAGCCCGGATCTTTGGCAGCGGACCCCTGCGCGCCAAGGAGGCCAATGGCTACATCTCCGACAAGTACCCTGTCATTGTAAGGATAATCTATGGTTATACGTGAGGATTGTGGTTCTAATCGTTGTTGCAGGACCACGAGTACGATGCTGTCGTCGTCGGTGCCGGTGGCGCTGGTCTCCGTGCCGCTTTCGGTCTTGCCGAAGCTGGCTTCAACACTGCCTGTGTCTCCAAGCTCTTCCCTACGAGAAGTCACACTGTCGCCGCTCAGGGTGGTATCAACGCTGCTCTTGGAAAGTATGTTATGGAGGTTTCTCAGGTTCGCAACCCGGCTAACCTTCGGCCTGTAGCATGCACGAGGATGACTGGAGGTGGCACATGTACGACACCGTCAAGGGTTCCGACTGGCTTGGTGACCAGGATGCCATTCACTACATGACCAGAGAGGCTCCTGCTAGTGTTCGTGAGTTGGAGGGCTACGGTTGCCCCTTCTCCCGTACCGAGGATGGTCGTATCTACCAGCGTGCTTTCGGTGGTCAGTCCAAGGAGTTCGGCAAGGGTGGCCAGGCCTACCGTTGCTGTGCCGCCGCTGACCGTACCGGCCACGCCCTTCTCCACACTCTCTACGGACAGTCTCTCCGCCACAACACCAACTACTTCATTGAATACTTCGCCCTCGACCTTCTGATGGAGGATGGTGAGTGCCGTGGTATCATCGCCTACAACCAGGAGGACGGTACCCTCCACCGCTTCAAGGCTCACCACACCGTCCTGGCCACCGGTGGTTACGGACGTGCCTACTTCAGCTGCACTTCTGCCCACACCTGTACCGGTGACGGTATGGCCATGGTTGCCCGTGCCGGTCTCCCCAACCAGGATCTGGAGTTCGTCCAGTTCCACCCCACTGGTATCTACGGTGCCGGATGTCTGATCACTGAGGGTTCCCGTGGTGAGGGTGGTTACCTGCTCAACTCCGAGGGTGAGCGTTTCATGGAGCGTTACGCTCCCACTGCCAAGGATCTGGCCTCCCGTGACGTCGTCTCTCGTTCCATGACCCTCGAGATCCGTGAGGGCCGTGGTGTCGGTCCCGAGAAGGACCACATCTACCTCCAGCTCAGCCACTTGCCCGCCGAGCTCCTTCACGAGCGTCTGCCCGGTATCTCCGAGACCGCCTCTATCTTCGCCGGTGTCGATGTCACCAAGCAGCCCATCCCCGTCCTGCCCACCGTCCACTACAACATGGGTGGTATTCCCACCAAGTACACCGGTGAGGTTCTGACCGTTGACGAGAACGGCCAGGACAAGGTTGTCCCTGGTCTGTATGCTTGCGGTGAGGCCGCCTGTGTGTCCGTCCACGGTGCCAACCGTCTGGGTGCCAACTCTCTTCTCGACCTGGTCGTCTTCGGTCGTGCCGTCTCCCACCGTGTCCGCGACATCGCCACCCCTGGCAAGGCCCACCGTGAGCTGGCCTCCGATGCCGGTGCCGAGTCCATCAAGGACCTCGACTTTGCCCGCAACGCCGACGGTCCCAAGTCTACTTTCGAGATCCGCAACGCTATGCAGAAGACTATGCAGACTGATGTCAGCGTTTTCCGTACCCAGGAGAGTTTGGATGAGGGTGTTGAGAAGATCAATGCTGTCGACAAGCTGTACGACCAGGTTGGCACCAAGGATCGCAGCATGATCTGGAACTCCGACCTTGTTGAGACTCTTGAGCTCCGTAACCTGTTGACCTGCGCGTACGTATTTCTGGGATTTGTTTGGTATGATCATGGCTAACTCTGGAATAGTACTCAAACCGCCATTGCTGCTGCTAACCGCAAGGAGTCCCGTGGTGCCCACGCCCGTGAGGACTACCCCGATCGTGACGACGAGAACTGGATGAAGCACACTCTCACCTGGCAGAAGAAGCCCCACGGTGACGTCCAGCTGGGTTACCGTGCCGTTGAGCACAAGACCCTGGACGAGAACGAGTGCAAGCCTGTGCCTCCCTTCAAGCGTGTGTACTAAGCGTATCTGAGGCCAGGGGGGTTAGGGGGTGGTGAGAAGAGGGTAGTGAACGAAAAGAGCGAGGCGAAAATTCGACCGTGTCTATTTCCGTGTGTTTATATGTGTATATCCAAGGGTTTTTCCAGGCGATGAGTTTGGTGTACTCACGTGTGTTGTCTTTTATAGCCGTTGACTTTGCCATACAATGGAGTTTTCTTTGTGTTATTCCTGCCGAGTAACCTCAACCACCGTCAACCCGCGATTTGATTCGGGGTGTTTGGCTGGTGCCGTCCTACCAGTCATCCCATGAAACAAAGAAAGACGGCTGCACACTGCCACTTTTTAGGAGATGGTAGACCTCTTTTCATGCTGACTTCCCTGGAGATTCAACCTCGCTCATTCTTTGCTGTCCGGTGATTCTACTCTTTGCTGCTCTTGGGCTAACACTCGTTCAACTGCCAGCCGGACTGCGATTCACTCGCTTGTTCTTTCTTGTTCTTGTGTTCGCCAGCCGCTCTTTGAGACGAAGTATAGCGCAGTACAGGGAATCATCGCCATGGCCGCCCTCGCCGTCCGAGCTGCGAGTGATTCCTGTCCGGAGAATACCCAGTGGTATGTCTGTGCGAAGGGGGGGTATAGTGGATGTTGCTCGGTCGATCCATGCACTGTGGGGGTTTGTGCAGATGATAGTAGTGGCAGCAGTAGCAGCAGTAGCAGCAGTGGTCGCAGTGATACCACAACCAGCAAGACATCCTCAACCTCGAAGAGCACTGCTGTCGAAGTCAAGACCAAGACCACCTCAACATCGACATCCAGCTCGACCATATCGACCACCACAATCCCAGCGGCCACGCACCCCGCGACTACCACTGCCAATACAACAACCCCAACCCCAGACCAAACCACCATCCACCCAACAACCACACCCACAACAACAACCACACCCACACACCACCAACCCAACAGAATCAACCAAGCCCTCATCGCCGGCGTCGTGGGCGGCATCCTCGCCCTCCTCATCCTCGCCGCCCTGGTGCTGTACTCGATCTACCGGGCCCGAAAACGCCGGCGGGGCCAGTTCCGGCTCCTGCACTGGCGCCACCCTGGGACTTTGGGGTCTGGGTCGCCGTCGAAGGAGGACCGGTTGTTCGGTGAGGAGGAGGGTGGGACGGAGATGGTCGAGACGAACGGTAAGGTAGTCCCGTCGCCTCGCCCCTGCTTATAATGAGTTAGGGCTCGGATGATGATGAAGTAGCTAACGCAGCACAGACTCGCACCTACAGGCGCAAGCGCAGCCGCCTCGGATTACGATAACAGTGCCAGCAGCAGTAGCATCAGTAGCATCAGCACCACCAGCACTACCAACAACCCTAAAGGCCCCAACCCCAACCCGATCCCGATCCCAAAATCCAACCCCAGCTCCTCCACCACCACCACCACCACAAATAAACCCTTATACCACCCCACCCCGCCAAAAAGCCCCCATCCTACCTTCCCCTTCC